TCTGTGGTGTAGAGGGTGAAAAGGAAGGGGGAGACAGCAGGAGAGCATGTGGGAACAAAAGACTCTAGAAAACCCCCCAAAACAAATTAAAATGTGTGTTGTGTTTCGTTGTGTCTGTATATTAAGGAAGGAGTGAAAAGAAAATCCCTCCTCAGGAGCCCCGTCAGTTTCTTCCCCCACCTTGATGAGTCCTCAGGTTGATTTGTTTAAAGTATATTACTGGTGTTAGAAATGCTAAATGAATTGAACTGAACTGAATTTGTCATGAGACGTACGGTTCTATATGCAAGAGATGGATGCAGTTTGGTTGGGCTTTTACTGCACTGTCTTGGCATTTTACACCATTTGGCTGTGAAGGTATCTGCTGTGACTGGTTGGGAGTGAGGGGAGGAAGACGGGACAAAAAACATGTATTGAGGTGTTATTTTGGTCATATTTGTTACGCCTCTTTGAAGTCTAACAAGTCACACACAAGTCTATATGGTCACTGGGATTTTTGCATGGACCCTAGAGGACTTGCAAAGGATAATCACGGTGTTTTAGTTCATCTGAATGCAGAACAAGACGATTTTAGATGAAATATAAACTGAAAACAAACTGTTACAAGCTCAAAATATTTAACTTAAGTGAAGAGTAGGGTCATTTTCTTGAGGACTTCTACAGAGTTCAACTTTTCTTGCAACCAGAGGATTTTTCATGTTTAAGCAAGTTTAAAGCACTTCCATTCTTGCTTCTCTTTTCAGACCATATTAGTCTATTAGAGTTTTTAGCTATTTGTTCCTTATTTTTGAAACAGCATGTTACAAAATGCAAACCACACGAAGTTTAACACAGCACAGTAACCATAAAAATGAATTCCTGACTTTGACTTAAAAGATGTATGCGATTTCATAATACTACCAAAATGCATCTGTGCCAGGAGTTAAAAAAAAAAAAGTTTGTCAATGTTTCACACCATCCTGTTAAATGTAACTGACAACTTAAACAGTGCCAAATCTTTCCTCTTCACACTTTGCTTTACTGAAAAAAAAAAGAGCGAATCTTATCTTGCATCTGCCTGTTCTGCATATTTCAGATGTTTCGTTGTAAGTTTTGGTCTGAACCCTTCACCCCTTCAAAACTCAGTTTCTAATCCTGTCACACACGAGTGCTGTCAGGTGCTGAGAATCTGCCATCAGCGATTTTTAGCACAGTGCCTGAAACCAGATGATGCTGATATAATATCCAGCTGAATAAGTCCAACGTTGTAGCTCTGTACTAAACTGAAGTGTGATGAATGTCAGCAGCCGTTTGCAGTCCTCTGTTCTGTGTATGTTCTGTTATGTTTTCATTGTCTCGGCAAGGTGCGGTTTCTAAGTCATCAATTTCCTCGTTCTCGGTTTGTCAAATTTTCGTATCTGCCTTGATTGTTATCCGCAGTGTTAAGTCACCTCCACACCCTAACGAGGGTGCTTGCTAGTGAAATAGTGGCCCACGCCGCCCACCACTGACGGTCTTCCAGAGCTTTTGTAATACTTCCAAGGAAACAGAATTGAACAGAAACCAGCATTTCCCTAAATGGTGAAGAATGGTGATTGCAAAAGCACTAGCAGCCTGTTAGGAGATATGTTTGAGTATGACATGTTTTAGATTGGAACATTTGATCCTGACTCTTTGCAACCCATCACAATCAGTTTGGTTAAGTCAAATAATACCTTCACCGTGCTTGGGATGAGTGATCGGAACTGCTGGCATAAATCGTGATACATCCGTCTGCAATATCCGTCAAACTTTTTTTTGACCTGGTCTGAACCAGCAAGAAAAAAAGGAACAGAGTGAGAAAGACGTAGAAGGGAGCTGATGAATCAAATGAGAAACGACATTCTGAAAACTGTTTCGAGAAAGCTTTCTAGGAACAGAGGGTGAGAGTTTCTTTGGCCATCCGCAAACTCCTCTCTGTGGTTGCTGCGAACTCTGTAAATATCCATACACTGTGTAAGTAATACATCTGTACCGTTAGGTGTGGAAAAGGGTTATTACAGATTTCTGTTGAGGAGTAGGGGCAGAAAGCAAATTCATGTTCCCAAATCATTTCTGAATACTGATAAGATTGTCATGGGTTTGTTTGATGCACTGACTTATTGGTGATATTAATATTTTGTTCTATTAGATTTAGTTTTAGCTGTGGGCTGTGGGCCAAACGATACTGGAGGAGGTGAGTGAGTCCTTTGTGTTGCTATAAGGAAAAGTGGCTGGGATTGTTGTGCAGTCGTTAATCAGGATTGTGGATATTTGTGTCCATATGATATTAGTGATGAACCACCACATTGTTGGATTAAAGCTCTTCATTGGATGTTGACTGCCTTTTATTCTGTTCTCTCTATCAAGATGATCCCACACTTGTCCAATATCATTGTGGTCTGAGCTGTGGGGAGGCCAATCCATGCCTGACAGTGTTCCATTGTGTGTTTGGTATCACTTTCATGTTGAAAATCGAAGCCAGTGTGAGTCAGATGGTTTCTAAATGGGATCAAAACCAGATCAAACTTTCCCGCTTTCATAATTCCATCAATTTTGACAAGATTCCCAGCACAGCTGGCTGAAATCAAATTTTACAATTAGATTAATCAGTTGGTGAGAAGCACTGTTGGCACTAATCTTCAGTCCAGTTCTTGTGTTATTTGGTACTTCAGCCTGTTTCCCCTCCTTAAGAATAGTTTCTTTACAGTGGATATAAATAAATGTTCTCATACATTGGTGGAAGTATCAACAGTCCAATCACTTATATATCAGTTGGCTAACATTTTCTGAAACTGAGCACATAGATTCATGTCTAAGTAAAAGATCTGTACAATATGATCCTACACATCATGTACTTATCTCATTTTCATTTTTCAGCAGATTGTGACACCAGAAGAGGAAAACTTAGCCACAAGTTTCGAAGAAAGATAGGAAGTTCTAGCTAAAATGTTGTACTAACTTAGGTTTCACTTTTACTCCAAATGAACCTTTATCAGCAAAGTGAAAAAAAAATGCAAGCAGCACCATTTATGGATTCACAGAACATGAGAATTTCAGAAAGTAGGTGTTCATTTTTCCCCCTGTGCTTCTTTTTAACATACCTTCTGAGGTGTTATTGTTCCTGTGTAAGACATGATTACATGTATAGCCTGTTACAGGTCTGTTGCTTCTGCTGCTGCAGTGATTAATGATCAGAGGAAGCAATTTCCTTTGTAATATTTGTCACAACAGTCACAGTATTGGCAAATATTCAAGCAGCTAGTAATCAGATGCCTGTTCAGACAGAGCCAAACGGCTTGCTACACATCCGCTCTTATTCGTGAAAGCATGTGTGTGAGATAATGTCCCTCAATTAATTCTTTTTGCAGAAGTGACAGGCGTATTTGTTCTCAGGTGATTTATTGGGGCAAATAGGCCCAGTCATACAGTATTACAGGCATAAAACAAACTGCGCATTAAGAAGCTCATAAGGCAGAGCAGCCTGCCAGATCAAGTTATCTACTAGCTGTACATCTGCTGCACATAAAAAAGACACATCAGATTAAATGGATTTGATCTGATAACAGTAAGTGAAACACATTCTCTCTTCTTCTCTTCTCTTCTCTCTTCTTCTCTTCTCTTCTCTTCTCTTCTCTTCTCTTCTCTCCTCTTCTCTCTTCTTCTCTTCTCTTCTTTCAAACATAGATTATATATCCGAGGAAGCATCACCATGACTTCCAGCCATAACATTATCGTGTCTGGACTTTAAAAGATCCCCTTTAACACTAAATCCCAAATATCATAAAAATCATAAACAATGCCTTTGGACTGATGTCAGTCCTGACAACAGACTAAAGAAATTTGTCCACATGTTCCCAGATACTGTCAGCGTTTGTGCGAAGCAGAATACTAGACTGTGATAAAATGTGGGCTACACCATGAATACTGATTTGAGACAATTTCAGAAAGCACAGAAGCAGACACACGAGCAGGCACCTAATCTAATATCGGACAAACAGCAACACTGAATTTTCACTGATGGCCACTAGATGGTAATGAAGAGCAGACATCAGCTGTTGACAGGAAACTCTCAGAGAGCACAATACAGTTGTATTTTTCTTTAATTGATTTTTAAATTAAAGTATTTACAAAAATAAAAACAAACATTTAAGTCTAGTAAACAATCTTACAGTAACAGCTTCCTCAGAAGTATACACGTTTTTGTTTA